TACCTACTTTTTTGTGAAGTGCTGTAAAATGAATTTATGAAGGGTTTTAACTTCAATTCAACTTTATTATAGTATCAGAAATACAATGAAATTTGTGTTTTCGCGCAAAAAAGAGATCGAGAAAACTAATGGCGTGTAAATATTAATATTAAACAATTTGTTCAATGGATGGGACACCTAAAGGACAGCGATGTACACTCAGCAGCAATGAATGTGTGTGAGTGGATAACAACGTGTTGCTTGGTGAATGCAACAAAATATCAGATAAGAATATCTGATATTTTTATTCAAGCTGATAGAAATATGCGTCAGCATGCTGAAGTGTACCTATGGATGTTTGATCATTCGATCAATAGAATTAAGTGTCCCTTTTGTCACTTCAAGTGTACCTATGAAATTTGGTCGTTTTATGCGTCACATCAAGTGTACTTGTTCAATTTCGAAGCATTTTGTTTCATTTACCAACGATTGAGTTGTTATCATTGGGAGTGTTTCCCTTCGTTTTCTCTAAGGTTGGGTGGTAAGTGATTTAAATGCTGTTTATATAAAAAGTCGTGAAATTTCTCTCGATAAATACTGCACGCAATCCGAATAATTGATTCAAAATCATCGGCACTCATTACAACGTATACTAATAGGTATGAGCTCACGTCTGTAAGACAAAGCGTGTGAAAAATGTTCGGGTTGCGTGTAAGAGAGTTTCGAGTAATTATCGATTAATTCAAATTCCTCAAATGGAAAGAATGACACTCAGCAAGCAACTCTAGTACGCAATAGCTCGATAAACACTTACTATGTATATCAAATCGACCTATTCAGTCGATAATTACCACTTCATTATTATGCATTAGATGCATTTTTTTACATTCAGCCATAAATAAGGTGGTTTTTATTTGTTAATTATCATAATAAGGCGCAAACATTTCATGTAATAGACCAGAATTAGTGGCTAATTTTAAATCGGAATTGTGAGAAACTTACCTACCATACATATGGTTAATGCGTAGAATGCATCGCACACCCAAAGTAGTGGAAAATTACTTGGCTCACATTAAATATTCCAGAAAAAAACGCTTTGTCGTTCATTCATCCAACGCATAAAAAAACGATTTCATTTTTTGTAGCAAAGGACGTTGACTGTCTCTTTTGTTCAACGTTTTTTCCATTTCTCGTTTTGTTTCCTCATTTTTGTGTCTTTTTAGCACTACATGAAATGTGGAGCTACTAATCTGCTGTTTTTTTCTTAATACTTTTTGAGTGATGAAACAAATTATAGTGAATTTGAATTTTATCTCATATTTTTTATTTAATTTAAAACAGGCGCACTAACGACAAATAAGTGCATAATATCTCAAAGCGCCAATCAAATTTTTATTATCAAATGTTGTTTAAAAATTACATTAATTTTTCGTATAATATTTTCTGAATCTTGGAGAGAATTGAAGTGATTTTAGATTCTATGCTCATATTATTATTTATTTAATTTAAACCAAAGGCAGTGTATTTTAAAATAGAAATAAAATCAAGATCTTGTAATTCATTTTGCAAATAAATATATTACTTCAAAGTTACTGAAATGCATTTCATGTAGTGCGCCAAAAAGTAGTTTGTTGTGAAACAACAAAATAGATTAAGAGACTAAAAACTCAAGAACGCAGAGCGAAGCTCTGCGGTCTTATTTATAATTGAAATGCGTTTAAAATCGATGCAGTCACAGTCAACAAATCAGTATGAATTGGATCGGGTCTTTGAGTGGTTTGCAACTGCATTAATTAGAATAATTACTTCAATGATTGAAACTTTTCTTTTAAAATTTGATATAAAATTGTTGGACTTATTTGTGATAGTTAAAGGCTATTTTTACATCCCCTCACTGTGCGTCTTCGACACCCATTCGGATAAAAATTAATAAAAAGCAATTTTTCGAAGCCACAGTGAGCAGGTGGATTGGTGTGTATTAATTGTTGTCCAAAAAGTCGATTCCGTTATTCATTAGCTCGAACCGAGTCATTCAACAAGTCATAATTAAAATTCTATGTGAGAAAAATAGAAGATAATTAAATTTCATTTTAATAATTCCGACTACTGATTTTCACAAATGTTTTATTCAAAGAAAATGTAACAAATCGAAAATCAAATGTTTCATCAATTTAGATGTGATGATGAATGTTCAGCCGGCGCCTATATTTCTAATTTATGATCTCTCGATGGGAAAATTAATATCTAGAGCATTCAGAGAAAGAATTGTATACACAAGATGAGTAGAAAATAGAAAATAAAAAAATGTGAGAATTTGTTATATCAATCACAACGTATGTATATTGATGCGTGCAAAAATTTGACTAAAGTTGGACAATCGTTTTTTAACCTAAAATCGATTCGAATCGAAATCAAGATGAATATTTGGACCTTTATAGACAATCGTTCATTCGAAAAACAGAATGTATTGTTAGACAGTGAATACAATCGGTTGCTACAGTGTGCCACTTCAAATGCATTCGGGGCTGGTTGCTAGGGCATCAAATCGGGTAGTGTCTCACTATATTCACTGCTTGTATAATATACAATGTATATGTATTTCAAAATGAATCGCATGAGAAATGTGAGAATAAATAATGGCAACAATTGTTTAGACATTTCACGAGTGATTTGTGTCATTTGGTTTCAATTAATTAGATTTGATCGGTCACTGCGGAATAAATATGAAAAGTTCAACATCCCTAACTTAGGGACCGGACCCTAAGATAATTTACTCAAATTACTCTACAATTTTTTAATCGACAATGATTCAAATATTTTATTTGCTTAATTCGGTCATCCGAATACTACGAGCAAATACTCGATTCAAAAATTGTAGAGTCAATAAGTAGCTCTCTCGTTGAGAATTTGAGCAAATTATAATAATGACTTTGCGGCACCAGTTCATGTGCTGAAAACTGAACAAAAATCACTTTCTGATCCCTAAGATAAACTTTTTCGCACACGTTGCACAAGTTTTATGTTCTAAAACTAATAACAGGACAAACAAATGAGATTCGGCTAAAAATAGAGGAAAAAGATGACAAATTAAATTTATTCAATTACTGTCACCTTCTCCATTTTCTTCTTCTTCGGAAACAGTAATTTCTTCTAGGCACTTCTTCAAAGGCACATGATCGCAATCATTATTAATAAACATTTGGAAGCGAAGTGCGGATGTACAAGTACACTCCTAGGGAAAAATGCTTTTGTTCTGTTTAAATAGACTTTTTGTGGTGCGTTAAACTAAAACAACTTCGCCTCAGACCGGCCACTTCAATAATATAGTATTAACAAAATTGATCGATCCGAGTAAATTGCATAAAAAGTATCTTCACCGTGTACGAATGCATATATAATGGGAAATTATGTACTTTTTCATGCAATTTTTACACTTCATGTATTTTGTGAATCATTGGTTAAATTCAGAAAAAGATTACTTCCTTGGACCATTATCTAAATTTATCAGTATAGAAAATTGGTTACCACTCACATTTTTTGGGATAGTTACAATACTTTCACGTACAAAATCGACTTGAAGTGGCTTCACTTATGATATGAATCGGTAAGACTAATCTTGACCTGCCAAATTGAGTGAAAATAGGATTGGAGTTGTTGTTGTAAAGTCCATATAAAAACAACTCTATGTTTTACATTTATTTTCACTTAATTTGACGGGTCAAGATTATTCTTACCGATTCATATATGTCTAGGGGCTTTTTACTCTTTTTCATATATGCGATTTGTACGGATAAACGCGCATAGATTGTGTGCCACAGTGAAGTGTGTCGAATTTTGCACATAGTCACGAATATTACGCATAGAAGCGAATACGCGTGCACATAATGACGCCATGATGCGATTTAAGACGTATCAACACAATGTCAACATTCTGTTGTATCGTTAAGGTTCGTTCAAACAATATTTGACATCAACAATTTCTGTCTTTAATATTTATCAAATCTCTTGCTAATGAGATTGTTCTTATTTGATGAAAATTGAATTTAAATATAACACAAAATTAAAATATAACACAAAATTAAAATATAATAGCAAAGAATAAGAATGAAAACGAAAATCAAATAGTTATAGTATACAAATACTGAAGTAAAACCGCCGATAGTTTTGTAGATATAAAAATCATTGAAAAAATAAGTGCGACGATTCATAATAATTGGAAATAGCATCTGGATTATAATTAAAAAAAAATCCATATGTACAAATGATTGAAGTTAACAAAAATGATCAGCAAAAAATGTGAGCCGAAATAAGTACAAATCAAACACTTGCAGTCAAGTATTTCTTGAATTTTTACATAAAAAAAGTCGTTGCAATTTTGAATTCAAAATAGTCGATATTGTGGCGTGTGACCAATCAGAGAAGGAAACATTTTAGTAGGATTCATGCGAAATTATTCGCAGTATGAATGGTCTATGTGCAGTATTCGGACATCGAATGTGTGCACTTCTAACGAATAGGCACCGCATAATACGCATAGTACGAAGAAATCGGCACATACTATGAGTTGAAGCGCATATTCTTCGCATAAAACGAATTTTTTCCGAGTTAAATGCCCCTAGATATATGTAGTCTTGGGCAATTTTATTTTTCCACACACTGTTGGTATGGGAGAATTTTCTCATGGTCATTTTCTTTCCGAACAGTTGATTTGCCATATATTCACTATAGTCGATATCAAGTAATTCAAAAAGTCCTAATTAAAATTCCTAATTTATTCTCTCTGCGTACTCTTTTATTGAAATTTCGGTTCAATGTCGGAACTTTCGACTGCTGAGTTACGGGAATGGTAATAATTGATGGGAAATATTACAAATACAAAAATTAAATGATTGAGCATTGAAATGGTTTGTCTGATAAATACTTGATCATTTCACGTATCAATTATTGATTTAATGCATCCCTTTCCGATTAATTTGTTTTGCTCCATGAAATGACTATAAAAGGGCATCGTTCATTTTCGGTTGAATCAGTTGGAGACGGACTTTCAAGCATTTTTCAGGGAAAAGAAAATTAAATTGAGAAAATTTGAAACATTTTTCTAACGAAAAAAAAAATCTTAGATTTTAAGTAAATTGTGAATAAGAATGATGATTTTGGAGTTCGTGCAGCGTCACTTGGAATTCTTGGGCCTTTTGCATCAGCGGACGAGTGTATCGAAATATGCATTGCTAATTCATCTTCGTAATTGTCTAGTGTTCGTATCGCTTGGAATTTTTACCATTCCAACATTTTGCTTCTTCTTATTCGAAGCCGTCACATTCGCCGATTATGTCAATTCATTCTTCTTCACGTCATGCGGACTTTTGGGCATTTCATTCAATGCAACCCTTTTGTGGGAAAAAAGCAACGTCAATCAACTTATCGTTGATTTAGAGGACACATTCAAACAACGACGTAATTTTGTTTTGTCTAGACTCTGTTTTTTTTGCTTATATTTTTCAATTGATTAATTTTTTTACTTCAATCTTTGCGTAGGTCAACAAAATCCAACGCTAGCAAAAGTCTATGATGACGCCAAGCAAGTGCTTGAATCGCGGACGAAACTGATCCACACAATAATGTTGCGCGCTTCAGTTCCAGTCATTGTGCTTCAGTTTATATTGTGGTCGTTCATTCAGTACATTCGATCGGATTACTCCAATGACTCGTTCCACTTGATTTATCCTTATGTGTGAGTTAGGATTTTTAGCGGTTGAATTAAACCCCATTTTTGACTAGGAAATTTTCAATTTTTTTAAAGTGTCCCATTCAACTGGAGATCACCATTTGGATACATGGCAATTGTTCCATTTCAACTCATCGGCATCCTTAGCTGTTCTGAAGTTTGTGTCATTGTGCTTTGTCTTTTTACCGGTCTGTGCTTAGTGATGACGACTTTTGTTTCGGACATTGAAGCCAACTTGGACATTATGAATGAATACCTTCTCAAGGCCAACGAATTGAATTCGACGCAACAAATTGAACTGAACAATCGTCTTTATACAATCATCAAATTTCACTCGGATGCGAAAGAGTAAATTCAAACAATTGTGAAACCCGAAATTATCTTCATTGGAAAACGTTCAATGTTTTTTTGTTTTCTCTTTAAAATAGATCAGCGATGATGTTTAGTAAAACCTTCCGAAAAGCTATTGCTTGCTATTTCACTTATGCAACGATTAGCATTTCAAGTTTACTTTTGGTGAGTGAAAATTTTTGAAGCAAAAAAGGTGGAAATGGAACAAACTCAATTCTTTTTTTTTCTAAAAGAAATTTTTTGTTGAAAACCAAAAAAAAAACTTCTTTTGACCTTTTGGTATTGGCCCCAAAAATTCATTCACATTCAGAGTTCCTAAACTTTTTCCATTACAGTGCATTAATGAACTGCGATCAGTAGCTGCAATTCAACCGGCCGCTTGTTTGAATGTGGTATTAATGTGGCTTTTTATATATTGTTATTTTGGCGATGAGGTGACAAGTCGATTCAATGGCATTGAAATGAAAAACTACCTCTGCAATTGGTACTTGTTACCATTACCTCTACAGAAGTGTTTACCAATTATTATATTATCAACTCATAAATCAATCTTTCTGCGTGGTTTCGGAAGCACCTCATGCACTCGTGAGTCATTCACAAAGGTAATTTCGACTTTGCTCAGCAAATGTATAACTTGTCATTCAAATCCATATATTTTTCATGATTTTTTAGTCCCCTACAGTCAAATATTATTTTACATTTTTTTCTTCAATTTTAGGTTGTAAACGTTGGATTTTCGTATTTCACAATGCTACGCAGATTAAGCAGCTAAAGACATTCCGGAATGTTAAGTTAACATTATGTTAACTGGTGCCGTTTTTTCAATGAATGGTTAAATTTTAAGGGCAAGATCTAGGCCAAGACTTGAAATATTGTGCACAAATATTAACTACTCGTTAGCCGTCTATTATTTTAACTGGAATTCTGCACGTACTGTGATTGGAAATTCAATCGATTTTAGTTAAGTTTGAAGAAATTCAATCAAGTTGGCCAGTTTAGTCATCCACACGTATCAACTGTGAGTGTCTAGTGTTTGAAATTCTAAGCATAGTATACTCATTCCCATTAATATCTGTGATGTCAAACTCATTTGAAATATTTCGGGACGCACTCCTGCCTGAGAATATAGAGACGGTTTGAATATTGAAAATCACAGATGTCGCTAAGCTATGAAAAAAAAAACATTGAGCAATGTTTTTGGATTCAAAAAAAATTTCTTCTTCGATCAAATTCTAGGCACAACTTGACAGTAATTCCGCGGTGATTATGAGTTTAATATGCATGAACATCTTGAAGAAGCAACGCGATCAAGTAGGTCTGTTCGTGCCAAAGCCTCCACTTTTTCTCTCATAGTCAATGACTTTTTCGCCTAAAGCAGTTTCAGAGACTTTTTATCCCAAATTGATAGAATCCAAACACGCCCGGAAATCGTGCACTGAATATTTCGACGTCAACTACCGCATATCTTCCGACATAGTGCGTTTTTGGAATGAACATTTTGGAATAAAAAGTAGGCCTTTTTGAGCCAGAGCGCTCCACTTTTCCTTCCAAATTCAATGACTTTTCCACATGATGTAGCGGGATCTGTAATGAAAATTCATTTGTTTGGCTCCATTGATACATAACCACCAAGGGTATGTTTCGTCTTGTTTGCTTTGACATTTCTTCGTAACAGATATTAATGGAAATGACTATACATTCAAAATGTCCCAAAATAGTTAACTGTTGCAATCACAAGTAACAATCATGAATTTTATACAGTAAAATGATTAACTAACTAAAATCTAGTAGACATAGTCTCAAAATAATTTGCACATCCGCGTGGAAATATTTTCACTGACTAACGGACTGCTTAAATCGATGGAAAGTGATTGAATTCATAGATAGTTGAAAAGAAAAATTGGAATTTGGTAAAAAAGTAGTCGGTTTTTAGTTATTGAACGAAAAAAATTTGGACATTTAGACTGAACATTCGCTCCGCTCTGCGTTTTCTTGAATTTTTAGTTACTTAATCTATTTTGTTGTTTCACAATAAACTATTTTTTGGCCCACTACATGAAATGTATTTCATCAAAGTAACTTTGAAGTAATATATTTATTTGCAAAATGAATTACAAGATCTTGATTTTATTTCTATTTTGAAATACACTGCCTTTGGCTTAAATTAAATAAATAATTATTTATTATATATTATAATATGAGCATAGAATCTAAAATCACTTTAATTCTGTTCAAGACACAGAAAATATTATACGAAAAATTAATGTAATTTTTAAACAACATTTGATAATAAAAATGTGATTGGCGCTTTGAGATATTATGCACTTATTTGTCGTTAGTGCGCCTGTTTTAAATTAAATAAAAAATATGAGCATAAAATTCAAATTCACCATAATTTGTTTCATCACTCAAAAAGTATTAAGAAAAAAAAGCAGATTAGTAGCTCTACATTTCATGTAGTGCTAAAAAGCTAGGGGAATATCACGCAAAAAATTCTATTGAATTTCTATTTATTTTTGCATTTTCTAAAAATTAATTTCAATTATATTACATTATGCGAGATATCTGAGATTTTTTTCATTCTGGTTGATTTTTGCAGATATTTTAAGGCTAGAAGTGGGTTTTGGCGGATCCTCAGGATCGTTCAGAACTGCTCCCGATTCTGGAAGTGGGTTTTGGTGGATCTTCAGGATGGACCAGACTTGGTTTGACAATGCCCTGGCCCATCCTGAGGATCCACTCCCAGAACCGGGAGCAGTACTAAACGATCCTGAGGATCCACCAAAACCCACTTCCAGAATTTTTGAAGCGGTAATGACGTCAGCACATGGTGAATATGAGTGAATAATACAGATTTTGCGAAATATTTGAAATAGCTTAGATTTCATTAGATTTTAATGAAATAAATGAGATAGAAATAAGTTTTGCGAATAAAAATTGCGTGATATTCCCCTAGCTAAAAAGCACAGGGAAAGGATCTTCAATCCCTATGATAATATTACTATATTATATCTTTGACAACTGTCTTGGCACACATTCGATGCATCATTAACACAGCATCACCAATGAATACTAAATTTTACAATCGATTGGCACCTGAACATTTTAATTTTAATTTTCACCACAGTTTTCAAATACCAATTCGTGAAAATAACAAATGTACTGATATAATCCCCCAGTCCAATGCTAATTATAATACACATATCAACGTTCATAATAATTATGCTCAATTGACCATGCAGTTCAATAACAAAATACTTCAATTTAGGTTAATTCGATTTATTCTATTTTGAAAACAATAAAAAAATTGACAGTATGTTTTTGGTTATGAGCAGGTACAATCTATTTGAATCATTCATACGGTAACTCTTGGACTTCAACTCCCTTATATTCCATGGTAACGTCGTTCAAAGACGATCTTTATTTGGTATGAACTTTGTTTCTGACCCTTTGTTTGGATTTTGGCCAATGAGTGTGGTTTCAGCATCCGAACGAATGGACTTCCTTTTTATGCTGCGAGAAAAAATGTTCAGTTACAAGTTTGCAATAATCAACGGATTAATATTATTTATACCATCAATTTCTTCTTTTCAATTTTCATCTTTTTTTTTCATTTTCTTTCACATTCTCATTTAATGTTCTTTTCTCTATGAATCAAAAGTTTCGATTCGTAACGTTCCGTTCATGCTTATTTCTTCAATATTGCTTTGAAAGCAAAACTTCTTTTTAAAAAAATGTGTTCTCATCTTAAATTTACCTTCTCTTCTTGCGAAGACATCGCACCAAACAGAATGTAACTGCTGCTATGATGCACAGTGTAAACACAACGGCACCAACGACGGTGGCCACCAAAATTACTGGCTGTGTAATGTTTACAACGAACAGTTTTCGTTCGATTGAAACGGGATTGCGGACAACGACTAGCACGGTGAATGATTTAACATTCAAAACACCTTGTGGAAATTTGAGATTTTCTTGACACTCGTCGATTGTGACCCAATCATCGCAAGACTCATTCCCATTTAGAATGTAGGGACCGTCAATTTGTCGCAAGCAATATTCGAATTTGGGTGAACCAGAGCAGTAAATGTTCAAATGATAGTCATCACCGTCGTTTATCCATGTTGATCCATTAACGACTAAATTTGAAATTGCGTCTGCAATCGAAAGAATCGATATTTCATTAAAAAAAATTGATTTTACTTCATTAATCAAAACATTTCAAATTAAACGAAAAAAAACCGTTTTTCAATGTTCCAATTACCGTAAACCGTGATGTTCGTGGCAAAATAACCGTAAACTTTGTTGGGATCGGCCGCGACTTTTGATTTATTATGACAAACAAATGGCAAATCGGCTTTGTGTTGCGTTCGCCAATTTGCAATCAATTTGGATGTGAGCGTTGGAACGGATTTGGTTGGGAGTGGCTCAAAGGATGCCTCGATCAATGCTTCGATACGGTGCGTTTTATTTGGTTCGGTGAATATTTCCTGGGTGTTAAATTCCTTTGTGTCGCGAACATAATGACAGTCAACAAACCAATGCACTACAGTGCTGGTGGCATTTTGGATACTCTCTAAATCCTCACGACGAATTTCAAGCTTTTGATCGAGCAACGTTTTCGTGGCAATATTCGTTGATTTGACTTGCTTTTCGCCTTGGCTCAATTTGAGCTCGCCATTTAGCATAGCTGGAATTGAAGTTTAACACGTTAATTTCAACCTTTAAAGGTTTTAACACCTTCAATTTTGAACCATTTCAACTTGAATTCATTCAAATTCTGCATTGTTTCTAATTTTTTCTCAGAAAATCCAAATGTCTCGAATGACAATTTTAAATATTTCAATTAAAATCGTTAAAATTGACACGTGGAAAGGTTTGCACTTGAAAAGAAATGTCAACTTGAAATGTATTCAAACTTGAAACGTGCTCAATATGAAATTTCCATAAAACTGCATTCATCACGTGTGTATGTGCAACGCCAATTACGTACTTGTGACATTGATTTCCAAAACAGCGCTGGCCATTGGGTACCAAAATAATAGAAACGAAGAGCCCACACTCACTTCCAATTTATAGGTTTTGTTGAGATGTTTATTGGAATGCTGCGGAAACTGGTACGTCCACACGGCATGTGGCACTGTCGTTTTGAATTCCTATCCGTAAGGACACAATATAAAAAATGCATCAAAATCAACATAGTTCGTCATTCACACTGAAATGTGTTGTGTTTACTTCGATCGCGAAGGTTGAGCGTGTGTGTAAGTGTATGGAAAACACATTGAACATTACGACACTTACTTGTTTTTCATGGTCATCGATTAGCCATTCCTAATTAGAAGATTAAAAATTATATGTGTAAATTTGGAATTTGTTTTGAATTGGAAAAGCAAGAACAGAATCGCCAATATTTTGAAATCAAAATTGAACAAAAAAATTTCCAATCGAACCCATTTCAACGATGTATCGCCCACATTCGCTACCGTTCCGTTCAATTCAAGTAAATCGGCTGTAAATGTAACCACAGAACCTTTGATCGCTGGTGCGTTCGATTCCACTCGTAACAAATAAGCTCGTGAGTATGCGACTGTCAGTTCCATCGGAATTTCATAGGCAAACAATCGAGAGAATAAATAAATTGAACACATTAAATAGAGAAACATCAACTAGTTTATATGGCATTTAAATGGATGTTTAAATTGATGGGAAAAAACGCGACTGGATGACGTTCCAGCTGAGTGAACACAAATAATTCACATAGCAATAAAAATTCGGCACTTCGGCATTTTCACTCAATGATTCCGCTTAAAGTGATCTCATTTTTCTTATTTTTACGTCCATTGTTTTTGTGTTTTTTTTTTTTTTTTTCGTTTTTTCCCTCATTCCCCGTTAATTTTTGTTATTTTTTTTCTTCAATTTTTGACATCTTTTTCTTCGAAGTTCTTCGATATTTCTTCATTTTTGCTCAATTTTTTACCATTTTCCTCCTTTTTTTCTCCATTTTTTCTCAATTTTCTTCCATCCTTTTCAATTTTCTTTCGTTTTTCATGCATTCAACGGTTTTTATTGACAAATTCAATAGATTTTTCTCTCTTTAAAAAAGGTAAATACTTCCTATGGAGTCATGAAATCGAACTAAAACCGATTCTCAAAGAAAAATTCGTGATTTTTTCACGCTTCGTTTGGTTGTTGAAATTTTTCACAAAATTTTGTTCTGCTAATCATGACAAAACCAGACGATTAATCTCATCATTCATATTCCTCTTAAAACATACAAAAATCGGTTTCTCTCTATGTTTCCATAGCAAAACCTCAAACCAAACACTCACACTGAATATTAACAACTAAAATTAACAGAATCGTCGTCCAAACCATCTTGAAACTAAACATTTTAACGATAAAAAAATACAAAAAAACGAGTTGTTGTTATGAGTAATTCTCCGTTCCTTTCTTAAAACCGAAAGGAAGTACTCGAAAACGGTGTTTACGGCACTTGAAACTGAATGGCAAATGCGAGAAAAAAAAATTTAAATTGCTCGCGAATAATTCATTCTGATCGGTTGAATGTTTGCGCAAAAACTGACTGGTCGATTATGTGGTAAGTGAAGCGACAGCATCGAATTGATTGAGCTCGCACGTTTGCGTTCGTGCGCGCGCGCGCCACCACTCGCGCACATTCGCAAACTAGTTTCACTTGATCGATCGATCCGATCAACACAGTGACGGATCACACTGGAAAGATATGCTGAAATATTTACTCTCTCTCTCTCTCTCTCTCTCTCTCTCTCTCTCTCTCTCTCTCTCTCTCTCTCTCTCTCTCTCTCTCTCTCTCTCTCTCTCTTTGTTTCGTCACACAAACAAAACGATTAGATATCGCTTTTATTATTATTAAATTAATTACTAAAGTAAACTGATCGGTCGATGTTCATGCATGGTGCATTGAGCGAAATCCATCGATAGATATGTGTGTTCGGTTGTTTAATCTGTTAGAACTTGAAAATCGGCTCCACTGGCAGCAATGATGCATTCATCGAAAACGTACGACACTGGCAAGGCAGTCAACACTCCCAATACCCAATGATCATTTTGTCATTTGTGAATGCGCGTCGAAACACACCTAATTACCATTATTCATTTAGAGTACACACAGCAAAACGAAGAACAATTGCGACAACACCATAATAATAATGATAATTTTTGCTATTCTCGCGCGCTACCGAAAGACAATTGTGTCGTATTTTGTTTAGAAATGGTCGACCCGTTCAAATTATACCACAATGCGGTAAAGTTGAAAACCTTAGAAATGCGCGTGTACACACATTTCACAATACAAATAAGTGGCAAGAAGGTCAATGCAACTGCTATTACAACGGCAGTGTAGATATATCAGCGAAGCGAGATACCATGCATCGTACACATTGGCCACAATGCAGCTATCGCTCGCTCCCTCGCTCACTCATACGTTCACTCGCTTATACGTTCGTTCGTTCGCTCGCTCGCCCAAATCAATCAAACTGAAACCTCGTAAATATAACGTAAGTCAACGACGATGCAAGAAAAAAAGCACCAACAATTTAAAACGTCATTATTTTTTGTGCTTTGCTTCGCTTTGTACGCACTCAGCAGCACACCAACCGATCATTAACATGTAACATCGCGAAAGTTAGCACAACCGCGTTGATGATCATATCCATATTTGTTTTTTTCCTTCACTTGGTCGCATGCGCGAGCAGTTAAACATTGATTTATATGGGTTTTGATTTCAACCGGGTAAATTAATTGCTGAAACATGTGTGACTATTAACCGATGACTTCGATTCTGATCTTATCAAGTGCATCGCTTTTACTTTCAATGCAATTGTGTGCACAGGGTTTCATTGAGCAAGTTTCTTCTTTGAGCTCAGACAAAGTGTGCTCAACGTAATTTTGAACCGAAAAAAATGTGCGCACAACGCCATAATTTCTAATCTAGTTCTAGCGAGCGAGAGTGAAAAAAAATATCATCTATTTTGGATTGAAATATGTGTTTCGCGTGAAATGAAGCTCAATGCGATTCTGATGATTGAAAAAGTGTGTATAATTTTCTTTTCAACAAAAACAAATCATTACCATAATGTGATTTAAATTCAACGTTTTTTTTCTTCTTGTTCGGCCGTTTTTTATTATTTTCATTCTGTTCCGAATTGACGCGTTTTCTTTGGAAAAATTTAATAAATCGCAATAAATTGTACAGCCAGTTATCAGCTTTTGTATGCCACAAATGTAATTATTCAGACGCATTTTTATTATTTGCAGGCGAAAAAAACAACAACACCAGAACATATCATTATGAATTTCATTAGAAATGATGAAAAAAGTTATTTTAATTTGACATTTTCATAGAAATTAAACGAATCAAGTTAAACTATTTTGGGCACGCGTTGCGAAAACGCAACGCTTCAGATTTCCCCCACCTGGGGCCATTCAGACACAAAATTTTCGAGGATTTCCAAAAGAGAAAATTTAGTTTATCTTAAAATCTAATCGATCTGTCTTTGCGTTTTGGCTCATTTTTATATCTAGGGTGTCGACTAGAGGCCGCCAGGCCCATCTGTTCGAAAATTCGGAAAATCGGCAGAAAAACGTAAAAAAAACAAGGGAGGAAAATTTGATTTTTTTTTTCAAAGTAGAGGAGAGGTTGAAATCAACTTTTCATATTTATGCCAAAACTAGCTTCTGTGCTAATTTTCAGGTCATTCTAGCCAGCAGAAAAATGGAGGGCCAAAATGGGTTAATTGCTCTAGACCGCAAAGTGACTGGCTATTGAATATATCTGTGTAATCTAACGTAATCCAACATTCCGTAAATAGTTTAGATAAAGCGAAACATGTATGTAGGCTTGATTTCCAGTCGATTTCCATTGGATTTAAATTCTGATTTTTATTGCAATTCTTCGCTTTTAATCACAATCACACCATAAATATCATTTTCTTACTTTTACAATCGACTTGTCGATGTATTGGTTTTTCTTCTCAACCACAAAAGCATTTTGTGTCAACATGTTTTGACGCTAATGAAACAAATCGAAACGACGTACAATTTACTGCTTGGTAATTATTTTAATTTGCTGATTGTTCAGCACCTGTTTTCAATGCGATCAATTGCAATGAATGAACGAAACCAGTTCTTCAATTGATTGATTACACTTTCAAAAGTCTTCTTCAATTATTATGTGCTATATTTATCTTTGCTTGGGCCATAATACCAGTTATATAACCAGTCATCATTTTTTTTCACACTATGTACGGCTCACACACTCTGCGCTGTGCTAATTGCATCGTATTTATTTACACGTTGTATCTTGAGGTGGGTATTTATAGGTAGGAACTGTATATAAATATTCATGTGTTCATCATGAATGAAGAATAATGCGAAATAAAGTGTTTTTTTAGATATACATATGTTTGGAAAACTGTTTTTATTTTTCCATTTTGATTGAATGTAGGGTGATGAATCACATTTTTATTCAATGTCAACTTCATTGAATTATTTAAAATTTTGACAAACATTTTTCGATCATTGTAGTTGGAGTAGTTTTGAATATTTTGATTTTTTTTCAGGTCTGTCGCTAAATTTTCGGATTTATTTGCCAGACTTTCCGTGCAATTTGGTGAAGAGATAGCGCATAAAAGAAGCAATTTTTTCGCATGAATCCAAGGTGGTTGCAATGACTTTGTCCGAATCGCATGAGCTGACGACAGTGGATAAGTCGACGTTGGAATCACCGCGACCATGTTCGTTTATCATATTTTGAACGCTTGTTGTATTGAGCTACTGATCTGAAATCTATTCAAATGAAATAATTTGTTAGAATATTAAATTTTATAGAAAAATCATAAAAATTAATCTGATAAAAATGGCTCAAATCTACCATTGGAGCAGTTAAACAGCAAATGAAACTCTTTGAGAGTTAGTTTTAGTTGCGGTGATTCCAACGTCGACTTATCCACTGTCGTCAGCTCATGCGATTCGGACAAACTCATTGCAACCACCTTGGATTCATGCGAAAAGATCGTTTCTTTTATGCGCTGTCTCTTCACCGAATCGCACGGAAAGTCTGGCAAACCTGATTTGGAATGAATCCGCGGATTTCAGCGACAGACTTCTATGGGATCATTCAAAATAATCAAAAAAATTTCAACTACAGCATTAGTAAATGATACACAAAATATGTAAATGTTCCGAATATTTCAATAAAACTGAAAATAATCCTTCATAAAAGTCAAACATTTGTGTGAATTTCTCTTTTTTATTTCAATTGAAATCAATTCATTTAAATGATTGCAAACAAATCTCACGACTTTTTTTCATCATATCTCAGCTTGTACCTTAGTTGAATCTAGACACATATATACACAAAAATAATATAATACACCAAATATTCAATTCAATGAGAGAAAAAAAAATCCAATTTCATATCCCGGTTGAAATATTAGTAAAATGGTAAATGTTGACAGAAGAAATTGCAAGGTTGTGATAAGCTACCATTAAATTCATGGAGAATAGAAAACAACACACTGACATGAAAATCAGAATAAAAACATGACCATTTTAAACCTCAATAGTATTGCAACCTTATTAACAACATTTCTCATTGAGTGAGTCATTGTGAGTAATGGGAAATTGGCAGAAAAAACTCGACTATTTTTATTTGCTCAAGAGATAAAGTGTCGAAACATTTCTTCCTTCCTTAGCTCATTTCTTTCTGATGTTTTTTCTATTCATTTTTAGGTAAGAGTGTCTACTACCACTCATGTTATTAAAACTGAGAATTTTTAGCGATATCAGCATATTTTTTCTAATCTATGGATAGCTGTAAAATACAGTATCGAGGCCGAAAAATTCCATTATTTCCACTTTTTCTTTGAAAAACCTTCGCCAAATCCGCTTATCGGTGAAATAAATCAAACACATGACCATCAGAAAGAGAGCTAATTTCAACCTCTCACTAGAAAAAACGAAAATAATAACAAACGGAGAAATTCGTTTTTGTTATTGATTTTCGTTCGATTTGTGCAAAAAAAACACAGCCTTCAAAATAATATTTTCTACCTACAATTTGTTTGTTTTAGAATTTTTGGTGAAAATGTGGTTTTCTGTATTTATGACCATTGTGCAGCATGGATGCATATATTGTGAGCACAGAAAATTGTTTGGTTTTTTGTAGCATATTTGTTCGTACATAACACCTATGTACAACACACACACCATTGTATCTATCGCATGTCCAGCGAGACAACAAATGTGGCTGCATATGTGGTGCATCAACACTGTTCGCAGGTACATGTGGTTTTTCCCCAGATTTGCAATTCATATATTTTTTTCATGCAGAGGTTGGTTGCAGATAAATTTATTTATATAAATTTCAAATATCAAATAAATTTATCCGATATTTTTCATACGTTGTGTTGTTCGTAATCTCCATAATTAATGTATTGGCAATGTAAAACTAAATGGCGAACATTTTCGTCTCTGCACATTTTTATGGACTATATATACTATGCAGTGACACAGTGGCAGAATTGTTGACAAATAACGGTAAATGAACAAAACGAAAATCTCATTCCAGCGATAAATAGCTGGCAAATGCGTTAGAACAACACGACGCATGAAAAATATCGGATAAATTTATTTGATTTTTGAAATTTATATAAATAAATTTATGTGCAACCAACCTCTATTTTTATGTAAACAAAGGCGTTCGAATGTACGAACAAAATATGTAGCAACAGAATGATAATCCTCAGAGATAAGGGTCGAGGGTCGGCAAAAATGTACGACAGCATGGTGATGATGGATTCTAGTCAATACATAGCACATATTAACATTATGCTTCGCTGCGCCTAGAATCGACATCATATTGAGCATTTACAGGCCTTTTGCCATTGATATCTTTCTTATCTGCTCTGAAGAGAACGCACGTAAATAGCCGGAAAAAATATATTTAAACCATGGCAAACGAATGAAATGAGACAGTCGCAAATTTTTCCTCAACGAAATAAGACCACAAAGTGACCGACAAAGTGTTTGTAATTACTGTCAGTCGTACCAAACCATCATAGTTGGTTCGATTGATTCAACCACGAAAGACATTCTAGTTCTTTACTCGTCAGAGTACATTTTGTGCAAAATGAAGTCAACAATATTGGCCGTCATTCTGGTCTGCAGCGGTATTGCTGTTTATGTGAGCCGTTATTACTATGGCACTAGCGATCCTGTGCCTGTGCCTATGACTGAAACGGTGAAATTTCAATCAGTACAAGGAAAATTCAACCAATCCGGCTCAAATGCAACGGAATTGGT